GAGCAGACAACTATAGCCACAACAACTCAAGAACAGAAAACTCAAGAGACAGCAACTCCAGGGCAGACAACTATAGCCACAACAACTCAAGAACAGACACCAATAAAGTCTACAACACAAGAGCAGACAACTACAGCCACAACAACTCAAGAACATACAACTCTAGACACAACAACACAAGGGCAGACAACTATAGCCACAACAACTCATGAACAGACAACTCTAGACACCACAACTCAAGAACAGACAACTCAAGAAACAACAACACAAGAACAGATAACTATAGTCACAACAACTCAAAAACAGACATCTCTAGACTCAACAGCTCAAGAACAGACAACTCTAGAAACAACAACACAAGAACAGACATCTTTAGCCACAACAACTCAAAAACAAACATCTCTAGACACAACAGCTCAAGAACAGACAACTCTAGAGACAACAACACAAGAGCAGGCAACAATAGCAACAACAACTCAAGAAACTACAACACTAGAAACTACAACTCAAGAACAGACAACTCAAGAAACTACAACTCAAGAACAGACAACTCAAGAACAAACTACAACGACCTCATTGGCCACAACACTGACATTTACACCTACAAGAATTTACATGCGCAAACAATTTTGTAAAGGAGACTTGTGCATGTGTAAATGCCCTTGTATCAAGAAATTGACTACAGCACAAATAGCAGAGGACGCCATTAATACAGTAAATGCTTTAAAAGTTGAAACAAGTACACTTTCAAAAACAGTCAGAAAAAAAATTAGTTCTGAAAATTTAACTAAAACGGAAACAAATTTAGGAGTTACTTCTGTTATTTTTGTTTCATCTGTGTTTTTCGTAATCATATTTATGGATATTTCTAAAATGATTTATTGGATTTCAACCAAATTGACCAAACGGACTAATAGAATACATGTTGATCCTGAAAATGAAACCGGTTCAACAGAGGAGGGAAATGATTGAAATATTTTTTACAAGGTTTCTTTATGTGAATTACATCTTCAATAACGTCTCTCAATGGAAACTTGATGTTCAGGGCTAGTTAAGAGCACGGGTAGGGTCCTCTCCAATCTAATTTATATGGCATTTTTACGTTCCTGGCATTGTTACGTTCCTGGCATTGTTACGTTCCCTGGCATTGTTACGTTCATGGCATTGTTACGTTCATGGCATTGTTACGTTCATTGCATTGTTACGTTCCTGGCATTGTTAGGTTCATGACATTGTTACGTTCCTGGCATTGTTACGTTCATGGCATTGTTAAGTTCATGGCATTGTTCCTGGCATTGTTACGTTCATGGCATTGTTAAGTTCATGGCATTGTTTCGTTCAAGGCATTGTTACGTTCATGGCATTGTTAAGTTCATGGCATTGTTTCGTTCAAGGCATTGTTAAGTTCATTGTTACGTTCATGGCAATGTTACGTTCATGGCATTGTTTCGTTCCTAGCATTGTTACGTTCCTGGCATTGTTATGTTCATTGCATTGTTACGTTCAAGGCATTGTTGCGTTTCTGCCATTGTTACTTTCATTGCATTTTCACTTTAATGCATGACATGCTTGCAACAATTACATAATCTATACATGGATTCAGGACAAAGAACCAAGTTTCTGAATATACAACAGTTTCCAAAATTTAATATTTTTGAAGAAAGGAAAAATAAATAAAAATCCACATATTTGACGTAGTATAATATACAAAATAGTAGAATATTGAATGTAAGAGAGAGAATAGTGTAAAATAATAATTCAATTTTAAAATGAGAGAATGTGAGGTGAGAGAAAGATAGACAGTCACTCAGGGATTTGATCTCTATTTATAGCATATTATCTGACTACACCCCCCATCCAATTGTACCCCCACTTTGTTTCTAACAAATGTAAATAATTTGATTTTTAAACGTTTTCACCGCAAAACCTGTGTTAAAATGCACCAAATAAATTCAACTTTTTGGAAAATTTTCTTGGGAGAACCCTTTCAGACGCTTCATAGGAGAATCACGACAAGACGCCTCCACATAGTTGCCTCATTTTGAATTCAGCCTCGACATTTGTTCCCCTATTGAGTCAGTCTACCCTCTGTTTGTACCCCTAGTTCGGAAGACTGGCGCCGCCACTGATTCAGTCATATAAAATAGTTTACACAGAATATCTGTTGATGTCGATACTACAGTATTTTTCGACAAGAGAACATAGACAATAAATGAAAAAAAATCTGCGACAGAATTAATTAATATGTAGGTCTGTGCAGTATATGACACGACGCGTCACGACTGAAACTGACAATTCTATTATGGAATTATAATAATAAAGGGAAGTAACTTCTACAAGAATTTTTTCAATAACTTTTTTTAAAAATTTAGATGCACAAAGAAATGAATTGATAAGTAAATCCATGAACAAGGAATGTGGAGTACATAATCTATATAATCATTGGACTTATAAAATAATTCAATACAGTGAGGATGGATTTTCAAAAATTCAATTTTAATCGAGTTTTATTCTGTTCTAAAGCCAAGATGGAAGGCAATATTCTGGTGAGTAAAGCTTCTGATAATTTAATTAAACTCAATGCATTCTCTAGTAAATCTCTTTGTGCTATGTTTAATTAAAAACTAAAACTAAAAGATATATGTTAATGTATTTACAGTTGATTGATTCTTTTGAATATTCAAAAAATTGGTATTTCAAAATGATTTTAATTTAAATGAAGAACCGATTCTGACAATCTCTGCTATATTAGTCAAGCGATTTGTTATATTGTTGCTTGAGACGCGTGTTTCATTCACCTTATCATTATCAATTATTCTAACGTGGAGGAATTTGAATAGATTTATCCACGAGATAGAAACCATGGTTTTCAATCAGAAGCCGAAAGAAAGAATAAAATGTCTCTACGTTAAATTTCAGATTTTTATTTGTGTTGTAGCTGCAGGCCTAGTATCAATTTTAGGTAGGTAAAGATGTTATCAGCCAAAAGGATACGAAATATCGTGTGCAATGGTTCAACAGATAGTGAACTTTGATCTTTGACTTTGTCAAAGCGAGTGACTTGACTTACAAAATGCAAAATAGAAGGTTATAATAATGTCAATGTTCACTCCATATTTCGTATAGAAAAGTAGTCTGGTCCAGCTCTAAGCTAAGCCGTGTGCAGCGCTCGTACTTTAACTAAAGTTAAACTTTGGCTCAAGTCTGACTTTATAAAGTAAAGATACAGTCAGACTGAACAAAGTATTGGTTTTGTACCAAAAGTATTGTATACCATTGTTGCGAAACCACATATGTATATTATGCGCCATTAAATAGTATAAAATATGGCGCTGGTAGGTCAGGTCATTCATTTACAACTAATATTAGAAATTGAATACCACTTGCTCATTTTAAAAATCTGATTCTGTCGCCTGGAAAGTTTTACCTTGGATACAAGTATCTCATTGCAACTTCAAATTGTCCAAAAGTAAGACAGAACAGAAGTTTTTTAAATTTCGATTTTTAACAATTTTTGTTGATATTTCAGGTCTTGAAACTGATCATTGGGGAACCCAGTTTATATTTTCATTCATTTATCCCATGCATCACAACTCCAAAAATATCATCGCCATTACAGCTCATGAAGAAACGAAGGTTAGAGTGATATTCTACGAGACACAAGCCGTTGTGAAGCTTACCGTTCAGCCAGGACAGACTAACCATACTTTGCTTGGTGACATGAGTTTAGCTCAACCGTTTGGAAGTGTTTTACAAAGAAAAGCAGTCTCTGTAGAAGCCTCTGCCAAAGTTTCTGTGTACGCATATTCTTATGCTATCCTTAATCGAATGTCTGATGGGCTTTTGGTTTTACCGGTTGCCTCCCTTGGCACGAGATATTTGTCAGTGAATATGGGTTCGTATTATCAGTGAATTTGACTGGCAAACTACTATTTTTAACAATATTTATAGCAACACACCTAGACAACCATCTGATTTTGATATTAACCCAGGCACATATCTATGCTTTACCACAAGTCAGCCAGTGCTTGTTGTAGTCTTCATGACAGCACGTACTTCTTACCAATATCCCACAGATACAGGGAATGTCTACATGATGGTCATTCCCCCAGTTACTAAATTTAGCAACCAGTACGTCATACCAATGGATATTTTCGGACAATATGGATACAATAACTTCTATAACCACGTGGATGTGATCGCCAAGTCGCCAGTGAATGGATTTGTACCTGCATTGCTGTATTTTGGTATGTGTCCTGGATACGAAATAAGTAGTTCAACCGCCTCATTGAGTGGAACCATTGAATTTACAGCCAACTCGCAATTCATGGTGCTAGTTTATGGGTTCATTTACAGAGATGCGTTTGGGTTTCCAGGAGGAATGAAGTTAACCGATTTTTCAGGTACATAATTGATAGAAAGCATCCACATTGATCTTCCCACACCTTTTATACTAAAAATGTAAAATACCAAATGAAAAATCCTAAGCATCATTAATTATCACATAAGTATGATTTGGAGTCAATGCTTCTCAACAGGGGGGATTTCCTCTCCAAGGGGGGGATTTGGAGACCGTGAGTTGGAATTATTGGGTTGAGGAAATTGGAAGGAATCGTCGGATAGTAGAGGAAATGGGAGGCAAGGTGATCTACGACTGAATTGACATGATTCACGCCGGACAGACAGAAAATCATGAACGAACTATGAATTATCTCCATATGATGAGTATGATCTTATTTTCATTCATGATTAATCGTTGAAGACATTTTGCAAGTGAAATGAGTTTCAAAATGACTGGTTTATTTATGGGAGTGATAAGAACTCTTTTTGGGATCTTTCGAATGATCTCACTGATGTTTATAAGCACTGTTTTAGACCATTGAGGTTAAAACCACACCCCTTATCAATGGATCTGAAAGTTCGTCAGTATTTCTTTGTTTGATTTTAGGTACTGAAGAATGTTCTAGTTCACCGTGTTTAAATAAAGGATGGTGTGTAGAAACTGCTCTATCTTATAAATGTCACTGTTCAGATACCAGATATACTGGTCAACATTGTGAAACAGGTGCGTGTCAATACTCAATGATTTTAGTTCGGCTTCATGTAATATTTTAACAATTTTTGCCATCAGGAGCTTTGCATAAGCCATTTTTTCTCCTAAGGACAGAAATCGCAATTGCTACTTTATCAATACTTTATCAATATGAAGTCAACACATGTATACATACGATTAAAGACAGTTCCCGAGGTCATTTCCTATCTTATAGATTCAACAGATTCAAAAGAGGTTTTCTGGCCAATTAAAGAGTACTCTAGAAGGTCAACACTAAAGACATGCAGGTGTTTTATTGTTATTTACAGTATGACGTCTGGGATGAAGTATGACGTTAACATCGTTAACTAGTTTTTGGTTAATATTTTATATTTTTTTCATTCATTCTAGATACTGTAAATGACTGTGACCCTAACCTATGTATTTTTTCTTTAATTACACTTTCAAAAACAGTAAGAAAAAAAATTAGTTCTGAAAATTTAACTAAATCGGAAACAAATTTCGGAGTTACTTCTGTTATTTTTGTTTCATCTGTGTTTTTCGTAATCATATTTATGGATATTTCTAAAATGATTTATTGGATTTCAACCAAATTGACCAAACGGACTAATAGAATACATGTTGATCCTGAAAATGAAACCGGTTCAACAGAGGAGGGAAATGATTGAAATATTTTTTACAAGGTTTCTTTATGTGAATTACATCTTCAATAACGTCTCTCAATGGAAACTTGATGTTCAGGGCTAGTTAAGAGCACGGGTAGGGTCCTCTCCAATCTAATTTATATGGCATTTTTACGTTCCTGGCATTGTTACGTTCCTGGCATTGTTACGTTCCCTGGCATTGTTACGTTCATGGCATTGTTACGTTCATGGCATTGTTACGTTCATTGCATTGTTACGTTCCTGGCATTGTTAGGTTCATGACATTGTTACGTTCCTGGCATTGTTACGTTCATGGCATTGTTAAGTTCATGGCATTGTTCCTGGCATTGTTACGTTCATGGCATTGTTAAGTTCATGGCATTGTTTCGTTCAAGGCATTGTTACGTTCATGGCATTGTTAAGTTCATGGCATTGTTTCGTTCAAGGCATTGTTAAGTTCATTGTTACGTTCATGGCAATGTTACGTTCATGGCATTGTTTCGTTCCTAGCATTGTTACGTTCCTGGCATTGTTATGTTCATTGCATTGTTACGTTCAAGGCATTGTTGCGTTTCTGCCATTGTTACTTTCATTGCATTTTCACTTTAATGCATGACATGCTTGCAACAATTACATAATCTATACATGGATTCAGGACAAAGAACCAAGTTTCTGAATATACAACAGTTTCCAAAATTTAATATTTTTGAAGAAAGGAAAAATAAATAAAAATCCACATATTTGACGTAGTATAATATACAAAATAGTAGAATATTGAATGTAAGAGAGAGAATAGTGTAAAATAATAATTCAATTTTAAAATGAGAGAATGTGAGGTGAGAGAGGGATAGACAGTCACTCAGGGATTTGATCTCTATTTATAGCATATTATCTGACTACACCACCCCCATCCCCCCATCCAATTGTACCCCCACTTTGTTTCTAACAAATGTAAATAATTTGATTTTTAAACGTTTTCACCGCAAAACCTGTGTTAAAATGCACCAAATAAATTCAACTTTTTGGAAAATTTTCTTGGGAGAACCCTTTCAGACGCTTCATAGGAGAATCACGACAAGACGCCTCCACATAGTTGCCTCATTTTGAATTCAGCCTCGACATTTGTTCCCCTATTGAGTCAGTCTACCCTCTGTTTGTACCCCTAGCTCGGAAGACTGGCGCCGCCACTGATTCAGTCATATAAAATAGTTTACACAGAATATCTGTTGATGTCGATACTACAGTATTTTTCGACAAGAGAACATAGACAATAAATGAAAAAAAATCTGCGACAGAATTAATTAATATGTAGGTCTGTGCAGTATATGACACGACGCGTCACGAGTGAAACTGACAATTCTATTATGGAATTATAATAATAAAGGGAAGTAACTTCTACAAGAATTTTTTCAATAACTTTTTTAAAAAATTTAGATGCACAAAGAAATGAATTGATAAGTAAATCCATGAACAAGGAATGTGGAGTACATAATCTATATAATCATTGGACTTATAAAATAATTCAATACAGTGAGGATGGATTTTCAAAAATTCAATTTTAATCGAGTTTTATTCTGTTCTAAAGCCAAGATGGAAGGCAATATTCTGGTGAGTAAAGCTTCTGATAATTTAATTAAACTCAATGCATTCTCTAGTAAATCTCTTTGTGCTATGTTTTAATTAAAAACTAAAACTAAAAGATATATGTTAATGTATTTACAGTTGATTGATTCTTTTGAATATTCAAAAAATTGGTATTTCAAAATGATTTTAATTTAAATGAAGAACCGATTCTGACAATCTCTGCTATATTAGTCAAGCGATTTGTTATATTGTTGCTTGAGACGCGTGTTTCATTCACCTTATCATTATCAATTATTCTACCGTGGAGGAATTTGAATAGATTGATCCACGAGATAGAAACCATGGTTTTCAATCAGAAGCCGAAAGAAAATGGAGAATAAAACTTGTCTCTACGTTAAATTTCAGATTTTTATTTGTGTTGTAGCTGCAGGCCTAGTATCAAGTTTAGGTAGGTAAAGATGTTATCAGCCAAAAGGATACGAAATATCGTGTCCAATGCTTCAACAGATTGTGAACTTTGATCTTTGACTTTTTCAAAGCGAGTGACTTGACTTACAAAATGCAAAATAGAAGGCTATAATAATGTCAATGTTCACTCCATATTTCGTATAGAAAAGTAGTCTGGTCCAGCTTTGCCGTGTGCAGCGCTCGTACTTTAACTAAAGTTATACTTTGGCTCAAGTCGGACTTTATAAAGTAAAGATACAGTCAGACTGAACAAAGTATTGATTTTGTACCAAAAGTATTGTATACCATTGTTGCGAAACCACATATGTATATTATGCGCCATTAAATAGTATAAAATATGGCGCTGGTAGGTCAGGTCATTCATTTACAACTAATATTAGAAATTGAATACCACTTGCTCATTTTAAAAATCTGATTCTGTTGCCTGGAAAGTTTTACCTTGGATACAAGTATCTCATTGCAACTTCAAATTGTCCAAAAGTAAGACAGAACAGAAGTTTTTTAAATTTCGATTTTTAACAATTTTTGTTGATATTTCAGGTCTTGAAACTGATCATTGGGGAACCCAGTTTATATTTTCATTCATTTATCCCATGCATCACAACTCCAAAAATATCATCGCCATTACAGCTCGTGAAGAAACGAAGGTTAGAGTGATATTCCAAGAGACACAAGCCGTTGTGAAGCTTACCGTTCAGCCAGGACAGACTAACCATACTTGGCTAGGTGACTTGAGTTTAGCTCAACCGTTTGGAAGTGTTTTACAAAGAAAAGCAGTCTCCGTAGAAGCCTCTGCCAAAGTTTCTGTGTACGCATATTCTTATGCTATCCTTAATCGAATGTCTGATGGGCTTTTGGTTTTACCGGTTGCCTCCCTTGGCACGAGATATTTGTCAGTGAATATTAACATATACAATAATGCTGAGAGTAAGTCAATTGAATAACTATCATATAATATTAATCTTAACTTATCTAAACACATGCTTTTTTCCTGGTTCATTTAACATATTTAGTTAAAACAATTAACATTCTAGTCTTTCTGGAACAATAAACAGTGTGCTCACTACTGGTTACACCTCCCATCGAAACCCGGGACAACACTTATTTATCTTTTTTGTAAGCTATTATCCTAAATAATTCCAGTTGACCCAATAATTTGGACCTGGATAAGGATCATCTAGGACGGTGGCGTTTCTATAAGTCATTGGGTGGGAAAGTCAAGGCCTGGAGAAACAGGCAAATGGGGACAATTGCATTTAAAAATTCAATGAAGAAACACCACTGATCCTGGAAAGATTTGGCCAGTTTTCGTCATAAAGATGCTATCCTCATAACACACTGATATTTTTTTATGTTCGTTATTTATAAGAATACAATAATCAGGCTCTGTTTAATGGTTGTTGAAGGTACAAAAATTTTATTCTCTTTTCAGATCAAATCGTCATAATAGCTACAGAGAATGATACTAGCGTCACAGTTTCATTTAAAGAGTTCGTTCAATGTATGAACAATGGTGCTTTTATTAATTATTCTGTCCAAAACAATCTCACAATGGATGCTTACGATGTCATGAATGTCTTTTGTAACAGTGACACGTCAGGTACTTTAATTACGTCATCAAAACCCATTGCTGTGATAACCGGAAGTAGACAGTTGCAATTACACAATTTCTTCGTTCGCGGATTAGTTATGGAAATGCTTCCTCCTACGACAGAATTTGGAACTGAATTCGCTTTTGTAACCCCTCACGGACATACTGGGGGAGCATGGGTTCGTATTATCAGTGAATTTGACTGGCAAACTACTATATTTAACAATATTTATAGCAACACACCTAGACAACCATCTGATTTTAATATTAACCCACGCACATATCTATGCTTTACCACAAGTCAGCCAGTGCTTGTTGTAGTCTTCATGACAGCACGTACTTCTTACCAATATCCCAATGATACAGGGAATGCCTACATGATGGTCATTCCCCCAGTTACTAAATTTAGCAACAAGTACGTCATACCAATGGATATATTCGGACAATATGGATACAATGACTTCTCTAACCACGTGGATGTGATCGCCAAGTCGCCAGTGAATGGACTAGTACCTGCATTGCCGTATTTTGATATGTGTCCTGGATACGAAATAAGTAGTTCAACCGCCTCATTGAGTGGAACCATTGCATTTACAGCCAACTCGCAATTCATGGTGCTAGTTTATGGGTTCATTTACAGAGATGCGTTTGGGTTTCCAGGAGGAATGAAGTTAACCGATTTTTCAGGTACATAATTGATAGAAAGTATTCAAGTTGATCTTCCCACACCTTTTATACTAAAATGTAAAATACCAAATGAAAAATCCTAAGCATCATTAATTATCACATAATTATGATTTGGAGTCAATGCTTCTCAACAGGGGGGATTTCCTTCCAAACGGGGGAATTTGAAGACCGTGAGGTAGAATTATTGGGTTGGGGGAATTGGAAGGAATCGTCGGACAGTAGAGGAAATGGGAGGCAAGGTGATCTACGACTGAAATTGACATCATTCACGCCGGACTGACAGAAAATCATGAACGAACTATGAACTATAACCATATGTGTAGTATCATAGTAGTATGGTCTTATTTTCATTCATGGTTAATCGTTTCAAAATGACTGGTTTATTTTGGGGAGGAATAGATTTGGAAGAACTCTTTCGGGGATTAGAAGCAATGTTTTAGACCATTGAGGTTAAAACCACACCCCTTATCAATGGATTGGAAAGTTCACCAGTATTTCGTTGTTTGATTTTAGGTACTGAAGAATGTTCTAGTTCACCGTGTTTAAATGAAGGATGGTGTGTAGAAACTGCTCTATCTTATAGATGTCACTGTTCAGATACCAGATATACTGGTCAACATTGTGAAACAGGTGCGTGTCAATACTCAATGATTTTAGTTCGGCGTCATGGATTTTTAACAATTTCTTTCATCAGGAGCTTTGCATATGCCATTTTTTCTCCTATTGTTTATATTGTTGATAAACATATTTTTAAACCATGCCAGAGGCTCCTGGACAGAAATCGCAATTGGTACTTGGTATCAATACTCATTTGTTGGTTGTTTCTTACTGAACATCTAGTACAACAGAATTAAAAATTAAAAGTCCGCCGTCGATGAAATTAATGTGGCTGTTTCTTTAATTTCAGCTCAAGACACAACTACTCAAGAACAGACAACTATAGCCACAACAGCTCAAGAACAGACAACTCTAGAGACAACAACACAAGAACGGACAACTCTGACTAAAACAACTCTAGAAACAACAACTAAAGAACAGACAACTCTAGAAACTACAACTCAAGAACAGACAACTCTAGAATCTACAACTCAAGAGCAGACAACTCTAGAAACAACGACACAAGATCAGACAACTCTTGACACAACAACTATAAAAACAACAACTCAAGAACAGACAACTCTACAAACTACAACTCGAGAACAGACAACTCTAGAAACTACAACACAAGAACAGACAACTATAGCCACAGCAACTCAAGAACAGACATCTCTAGACACAAAAACTCAAGAACAGACAACTCTAGAGACAACAACACAAGAGCAGACAACTATAGCCACAACAACTCAAGAACAGAAAACTCAAGAGACAGCAACACCAGGGCAGACAACTATAGCCACAACAACTCAAGAACAGACACCAATAAAGTCTACAACACAAGAGCAGACAACTACAGCCACAACAACTCAAGAACATACAACTCTAGACACAACAACACAAGGGCAGACAACTATAGCCACAACAACTCATGAACAGACAACTCTAGACACCACAACTCAAGAACAGACAACTCTAGAAACAACAACACAAGAACAGATAACTATAGTCACAACAACTCAAAAACAGACATCTCTAGACTCAACAGCTCAAGAACAGACAACTCTAGAAACAACAACACAAGAACAGACATCTATAGCCACAACAACTCAAAAGCAAACATCTCTAGACACAACAGCTCAAGAACAGACAACTCTAGAGACAACAACACAAGAGCAGGCAACAATAGCAACAACAACTCAAGAAACTACAACACTAGAAACTACAACTCAAGAACAGACAACTCAAGAAACTACAACTCAAGAACAGACAACTCAAGAACAAACTACAACGACCTCATTGGCCACAACACTGACATTTACACCTACAAGAATTTACATGCGCAAACAATTTTGTAAAGGAGACTTGTGCATGTGTAAATGCCCTTGTATCAAGAAATTGACTACAGCACAAATAGCAGAGGACGCCATTAATACAGTAAATGCTTTAAAAGTTGAAACAAGTACACTTTCAAAAACAGTCAGAAAAAAAATTAGTTCTGAAAATTTAACTAAAACGGAAACAAATTTAGGAGTTACTTCTGTTATTTTTGTTTCATCTGTGTTTTTCGTAATCATATTTATGGATATTTCTAAAATGATTTATTGGATTTCAACCAAATTGACCAAACGGACTAATAGAATACATGTTGATCCTGAAAATGAAATCGGTTCCACAGAGGCGTGAAATAATTTAAATACTTTTTAGAAGGTTTCTTTATCTTCAATAACGTCTCTCAATGGATACTTGATGTTCAGAGCTAGTTAAGTGCACGGGTAGGGATCTCTCCAATCTCATTTATATGGCATTGTTACGTTTCTTGCATTGTTACGTTCATGGCATTGTTACGTTTCTGGCATTGTTACGTTCATGGCATTGTTAAGTTCATGGCATTGTTACGTTTCTGGCATTGTTACGTTCATGGTATTGTTACGTTCCGGACATTATTCCGTTCATGGCATTGTTACGTTTCTGGCAATGTTATGTTCATTGCATTGTTACGTTCAAGGCATTGTTGCGTTTCTGGCATTGTTATGTTCCCGGCATTGTTAACGTTCCCTTGTATTGTTACATTCATTGCATGTTCACTTTCCTGGCATTGTAACGTTCATGGCATTGTTACGTTTCTGGCATTGTTACGTTCATGGCATTGTTACGTTCATGGCATTGTTACGTTTCTGGCATTGTTACGTTCATGGCATTGTTACGTTCCTGGCATTATTCCGTTCATGGCATTGTTACGTTTCTGGCAATGTTATGTTCATTGCATTGTTACGTTTCTGGCATTGTTAACGTTCCCGGCATTGTTAACGTTCCCTTGTATTGTTACATTCATTGCATGTTCACTTTCCTTGCATTGTAACGTTCCCTGGTATTGTATATATAAACGAATTTGCAAGTAACCAAAATTTAATGTGTTTGAAGAGAAGAAAAATAAATAAAATCAGTATCGCCCTAAAGTGTTCAAAAGAAGTGTATGACTGAAGGCTGAATATTTCATACTGGTGATTGTTACTGTACTGCTAAATATTTTTATTCAAAATCAAAGCTGCCAGTGGGCGTATATTACCTTGCCTGGCAAGCTATCTTAAAATGAGAGAATAACTGTGAGGTGAGAGAGGGATGGACAGTCAGTCGGGGATTTGATCTTTATTTATAGCACATTATCTCCATACACAGAGACATTCATTCCTGTTGTACCCCCACTTTGTTTCTAACAAATTTCAAAATATGATTTTTATACGTTTTACTACAAACACTACGTCAATTTGCACCAAAAATCTTTTTGAAAATTTTCCCCCAATCGCTCCATGTCGGAAGTAGGACGTAAAACTCCATTCATTTCAGAAGACTGGAGCCGCCACTGATTCAATCATATAAAATAGTTTACACAGAATATCTGTTGATGTCGATACTACAGTATTTTTCGACACATTTTTAGAACATAACCTAATTTCGTGGAAACATATTATTCGTGGATTTCCGGAAACGATTAAGAATTTACATGACCGACCTCCGCATTAGTTTGTTCTGATAAACATTGATTTTCTCTACAATATCAGCTAGTAGAATGAATTCAGTAGTTTCAAGCAAAGTAAAATGTATTAATGTATACTTTATACATACAAATACAAAATGGCGGATTTCACTTATTACCAAACGTCACCATTTTTTATCGGCCGAATTTCCTTATAATCCCAAGCGGTAATCGGAATTCCAAGTGTAGTCTGCTAGAATGTAGTCCAACGAATGAAATCACATGATCAACTAGCGGATTCCGTGTCAGCAGAAAATGTCTATGGAACACAAAGTGGACCATATTCCTATGTTGTTTCAGTGACTTTTAGCAATAAATCACGCTTATTTTGTCAGTCACTATTTTTTTTTATCGTGGTTCTTTGAAGGAATTGTCACTAGTTATAATGAATTGATATTAAAGATAAATACTAAGAGAAGTTGATTATACCACCCGGTATCCATACAACGTTTTTTTCTAGACTTATTTATAGATCAAGCATTGTACACGAAAATAGGTGAGGCATTCTGCCGCCGTTGCTGAGTTGGTTGCTCATGAAATATGGGTCAAAGTGAAGGATTCATAAAGAACATAGAAATAAACCAATTTTAATTATTTTGTAGAATATCTGAGGAAACATAAAAGATATAAAAAAAAAATTTCGTTTTTTTAACTTTGACGAAATTCGGTGTTGAATCCTTATATCCACGAAAAAAGGTTACACCACTGTATATAAAGTAATGTAATGTATATATATAAACTATAAGAAAAATCTACGACAGAATTAATCAATATTTAGGTCGGTAAAGTATGACACGAGACGAGTGACACCGACATTTCTATAAAGTAAATATAAATAATAAAGGGAAGTAACTGGAATTTTTTCAATAACTTTTTTTACAATTTAGATGCACAAAGAATTGTATTGAAAAGGAAAGCCATGAACAAGTAATAGTGGTGTACAGTAAGTATCTATAGAAAGACAGACATAATCTATATAATCATTGACTTAAATTGAAAATAGAAATTTGAAATTAAAAAAAAATCAATACAGTGAGGATGGATTTTCAAAAATTCAATTTCAATCAAGTTTTATTCTGTTCTAAAGTCAACATGGAAGGCAAGATTCTGGTGAGTAAAGCTTCTGATAATTTAATTAAACTCAATGCATTCTCTAGTAAATCTCTTTGTGCTATGTTTTAATTAAAAACTAAAACTAAAAGATATATGTTAATGTATTTACAGTTGATTGATTTTTTTAAATATTCAGGAAATTGGTATTTTTAAATAAGTTAAAATCAAATGAAGATCCGATAATGACAATTTCCGCTATATTTGTCAAGCGATTTGTTTTATTGTTACTCGAGACGTGTGTTTCATTCACCTAATCATTATCAATTATTCTACCGTGGAAGAATTTGAATAGATTGATCCACGAGATAGAAACCATGGTTTTCAATAAGAAGCCGAGAGAAAATGGAGAATAAAACTTGTCTCTACGTTAAATTTCAGATTTTTATTTGTGTTGTAGCTGCAGGCCTAGTATCAAGTTTAGGTAGGTAAAGATGTTATCAGCCAAAAGGATGCGAAATATCGTTTCCAATGGTTCTACAGATTGTGAACTATGATCTTTGATTTTGTCAAGGCGAGTGACTTGACTTAAGAAATGCAAGATAGAAGGCTATAATAATGTCAATGAAATACTTCTTTCACTGCATATTTCGTATAGAAAAGTAGTCCATCTCGTACTTTGACTAAAGTTTAACTTTGCCTAAAGTCGAACTTTGCCTAATGTCGAACTTAAAGATACAGTCAGACTTTATTTGGTATGCACGGCTTCTTCTGTAGCCGAACTTAACAAAGAATTGGTTTTGTACCAAAATTATTGTAGACTGTTGCAATTAATACTTTTTCAGAGTTTTTGGTTTGCAGCGAAACCACACATGTATATTATTCGCAATTTAATAGTATAAAACTGGGCGCTGGTAGGTCAGGTCATTCATTTACAATACAAAACACACCTTGGAAGACAAATTACGAAGCCAGACTTCATTCTACACACTGTATTCGATGCCAGGCAAAGAATAAAGACTTTGATAAATGCTCCCATAGTCAAAAATAATTATCAGAAATATTTCGTCTCTTTCGTTTTCTTTGGTGATTGATACATGGACATTCAGTTGAGTCTGTATTTGACAGTCATATTGACAGTTGATGAATGCGGATGTTCATTATATATCTTAACTGAAATAACTGGACTGACATGCTGATGCATATCAGCGTATACAGTTGTAACACGGATGGAATATGAATATTTATCGCAGCAATGGTGTATCATCATTTCCACTTCATATACCTTTTAAATCAAATATCAATACCTATCCATAATTAATTTGGTATCATCTTAACATTCCAATGAATTAGAGCGATATTTAACAATTGAGTAACTGTGTGTTGATAAATGCCTATCCGCCACTACGCCACTCCTCCTAAGTCTTTATGAGATTCTAAGACGTGTATAGCATTCGAACCATGGGTTAAATAATATTTCCCACAAGGAAACTTTCTGCTTTCCTAGACGTTACAAATACAATCTTTTTTGCATATTGGTGAAGCTTGCGCAGGATAAATAAAGGTGTGTCAAAAGGTATTATAGGCGGTGAGAGCCGACACCAGATAGATTCTCTAAAGCTCTGGCACGGCACCTTATCGATTTGCAGACGGCAATCCAGCTGGCTACCGACTGATATATTTCACTGCCACTTAAAAGACAGTGTCATTAGGAATTTCGAAATTACAGGCACAGGCATGTAGGCTTAATATCTAGGGAGAGCGTTTTGTTTGTACAGTTATTTGAATGATATAACATATTTTGAATAAATGCAATGAAAATCCATAATCTTCAGAATCTGAAAATAGAAGAAGAATAATGGTTTCAATAGGAAAATTGCTATCTATGGAAATAGTAATAAATATTTTTACTGCTGAAACTGATGAATGTTTTCATCAGGGTTAGTGCGGGTAAATTAAACCATCTTGTTATTGTTACTTTTTAGAAATAGATCACTGGGGAAGACATTTTGTTCTTTCATTTATAACAATTGAAAAGACGAATATCGTTCAAAACATCGTTTCTATAACAGCACGTGAAACTACTGAGGTCAGAGTGGTATTCCATGGGACAGGCGAAGAAGAAAAGTTCAGCATCACTTCCGGAAACAGCCATAATATTATATATGATCACAGAGTCACTCCAAGAATTTATACAGTCGTGTCGGTCAAGATGGCGATATCTGTGGAATCCTTCAAACCGGTTTCTGTATATGCATACGTCTATAATCCAGAGAAAAGCGAAGGGTTCCTGGTACTTCCGGTTGCCTCCCTTGGCATTCGGTACATGACAGTAACTTATGGAAAGGCAAAGACTATCGATGTTTCTTGGGGCAGTGAGTATTTTTTCTATATAAAACGTCTTGTTTTCGCTCATATCATAATGTGGATGGGTTCGGTTTATTATTTCATTTATTTCATTCATTTCACTCATTTTATTCATTACATTCATTACATTTTATTTTATAATTTTTCAGCTCAAATAGTTATTATTGCTGTTGAGGACGACACGGAAGTGACTGTCGAGTTGCCACACGATAATGATTGTAAAGTTGGTAGCACTAAATGGCAAGATTCCAAAATAAAACGTAGTTTGAAATTTGATATGGACTCTTACGATGTAGTGAACATAATGTGCAAGAAGGACACAACTGGTAGTTTAATTGAAGCTATCAAGCCTGTCGCTGTCTTGTCCGGCGCAAAATACATACGCTTAGAAGTCGCATCACACCATCATCCGATTGTTGAGATGCTGCCTCCAATTACAGAATTCGGAACGGAGTATAGATTTGTCGCTCCAAGTGGCCACACTTATCGTTGTATGCTACGCGTAGTGGCACTGAATCCGGATACACTTTTTGAATATGAAGGTACTAATATTCTTACAGAATCTGGTACATTTGTTGATATTTTTGTAAGTCAAATGGATCCTGTGTGTTTCAATGCTAACCAACCAGTAATAGTCGCCTTGTTTATGACGGGAAGGGATACTTGGGAGTCAGATAACTACACCGGAAATGCGTTTATGTCGATTGTTCCCCCTGTAACTAAATTTAGCAACCATTATATGGTGGCTACAGCTTTGAACGATTATAATACAAACTTGATTAGTTGTGTTGACTATGTTTATAAATCAGACATGACTTCTGCTTATGAGTTCCATCGTAGAGCTGTATGCTATGACTATGTTGTTACTCATATTGAATTTAGCGGAATAATGCATCTCCATTCCACAGCACCATTTTTGGTATTAATATATGGATATGCGTTTAAGGATGGATATGGTTTCCCAGCAGGGATGAAGCTAACAGATTTTTCAGGTAAGTAATATAACTGAATTGTCTTTTGCACAATATGACAGAGTTTGATAGAACATTAATTAAGCCAGGAATAAAGGTCGTTAGAATTAAAGACCAATTGATGGAAGGATCAATCAGCCTATTGGTAACACTGATTGAAAGTATTTTCTCGCGTCAATCATTGCCAGAGATTGTCAAGAAGAATTTGTTATCGCTTCTATACGACTTGATAATTGGTTCCATAGTTCCTTGAGATATTCAATGGATTAAGTCTACACAATCTCAACAATGTACAGCTTTAAGATGTCGTCATCTTTATATTTATTTATGGATTTCTATAAATATATAATGTGATTCGACCCTCCCGAGGTTACAATTATCCCGATGGTGAAGAAGTATCTTCTAAAACAGTATCTAATCACAATGGATAGTATCAAGAGACTGTGTGATCGAGTCTAATCGTTTGTCCGTCGTTTTCAGGACGTGAGGAATGTTCAAACTCATCGTGTCAAAATGGCGGTTGGTGTCTAGAGGTTGGAAACTCATTTCGATGTTATTGCCATGATGTAAGATATACTGGCGTCTTTTGTGAAACAGGTGGGTTTTTCTTAAAATCATACCTGAATAAAGCTCGTCCAATCGTTGCCAAAACATTTTTAGTCGGGCTGAAGAAAATATGAACAACACTGAAATGATTTGGACGACACCCTAAAAATAATCGAGACAATCTCAATATTATCTTAGTGACATTCAACCTGAACAACCGCCGCATGATTAGACAACCCCAACATGATCTAGATATTCCACACATGATCTAGACAACCTCGACATGATCTAGACAAACTCCACATGATCTAGACAACCTCAACATGATCTAGATATCCTCCACATGATCTAGACAACCTCGACATGATCTATACAACTTCAACTCGACCTAGACAATCTAAACATAATCTATACAACTTCTACATGACCTAAACAAGCTAGACATGGCCTGAATATCCTCAGACAACCTTGACATGATCTAGACAAACTCAACATTATCTAGACAAACTCAACATGATCTAGACAAACTCAACATGATCTAGACAAACTCAACATGATCAAGATAACCTCCACATGATCTAGACATCCCCCACATGATCTAGACCACCTCGACATGTTCTAGACAACCTCGACATGATCTAGACAACCTCCACATGAACTACAACAACCTCCACGTGATCTAGATAACCTCGATATGTTCTAGACAACCTCCACATGATCTGACCTCCCTGACAACCTAAACTTTACCTAGTAATCTAGACAACCTCCACATGATCTAGACAACCTCCACATGATCGAAAAAACCTCCACATGATCTAGACAACCTCCACATGATCTAAACAACCTCCACGTGATCCAGATAGCCTCAACATGATATAGACAACCTCAACATAATCTAGAAACAACATCCACATGTTCTAGATAGCAGGATCAACATGATCTAGACAACCTCCACATGATCTAACATTCCCCACATGATCTAGAAAACCACACCATGATCTAGACAACCTCCACATGATCTAGACAACCTCCTTATGGTCAAGACAACCTCAGCATGTTCTAGACAACCTCCACATGATCAAGACAACTTCAACATGATCTAGACAAACCCCAAATGATCTAGACAACCCCAACACCAAGCTAGACATGGCCTGAACATCCTCAGACAACCTTGACATGATCTAGACAAACTCAACATGATCTAGACAAGCTCCACGTGATCTAGAAAATCTCCACATGATCTAGACAACCTCCATATGTTCTAGACAACCTCCACATGATCTAGACCTCCTTGACAATCTACCTAGAAATAAAAATGCAGATGGCATGTGTTTGAATTCCTGGGGGAGGGGCCCCAACCCACTTAAGTCGGGTCCCACTCATCGTGCTGAACCCTTTGTTGCAAATACTGAAGACCTCGATACCTTCAGTTTTAGCTATAAAGCCGATTATCATTCCACTATAATATTTAGATAAATTATTGTATTTTGTATTATAGAATTGGCAGGGTCATCAACAGAGCAACTAACTATCACTACGGATACGCCATCTACAGAGCAACTAACTATCACTACGGATACGCCATCTACAGAGCAACCAACCATCACTACGGATACGCCATCTACAAAGCAACTAACCATCACTATGGATACGCCATCTACAGAACAACCAACTTTGACTACAGATACGCCATCAACAGAGCAACCAACCATCACTATTGATACGCCATTAACAGAACAACCATTTTCCACTACAGATACGCCATCTGCAGAGCGACCACCTTTCACTACAGATTCGTCATCTACAACACAATCAACTATCACTACAGATACGCCATCTACAGAGCAAACAACTGTCCCTACAATTACGCCCTCTAAAACGCAACCTACTGTCACTACGGATACGCCATCTACAGAGCAACCAACCATCACTACGGATACGCCATCTACAGAGCAACTAACTATCACTACGGATACGCCATCTACAGAGCAACCAACTATCACTACAGATACGCCATCTAGAACACAGCTAACTTTCACTACAGATACGCCATCTACAACACAGCTAACTTTCACTACAGATACGCCATCTACAGACCAACCACCTATCACCACAGATTTGTCATCTACAACACAACCAACTGTCTCTACAATTACGCCATCTACAACGCAACCTACTATCACTACAGTTACGGCATCTACAGAACAACCAACTTTGACTATAGATATACCATCTACAGAACAACCAACTTTGAATACAGATACGCCATCTACAGAGCAACCAATTATCACTACAGATACGCCATCTACACAGCAACCAACTGTCCCCACAGATACGCCATCTACAACGCAACCTACTATCACTACATATACGCCGTTTACAGAACAACCAACTGTCCTTACAGATACGCCATCTACAAAGAAACCACCCATCACAACGAAAGCACCAGCAACTCAGAAAGTCACAACATCAACGGATGAGTCAACAACTACACGGGTGTCTACGATTCAAGATATAACCACCGAGCACACCTCAACCTACAAATCTACGAATGCACCTGTATTGCAAGAGTCAAATCTCAAACCTAAGCCATATTGTAGAAAACTATCTTGCTTGTGTAGCTGCCCGTGTAAGAAATCCTTTAATAGTTCGAGAACATTGGAATCTAACGAGGAGCTGAAGGAAACTTTGGAAATTTCTAAAACATTCCTCTCCAAAACAATCCGAAAGAAAAACAGCAGCAAAAATTTGAAAAGTTTGGAAAAAAACATTGGTCAAGTTTCGTTTATAATTGTCTCGTTGCCTTTTGCTTGTATAGTTTTGTCTGATCTTTGTAGGATTGTGAATTCGTTATTCACCAGACGTTACCGTCGCAGGGATCAACCGCTGACTCGATGAGCAGACGAGTTTTCATAGAGATTGATAAAGGAATCTGATAATTCAGCGACCCTACTCCGCACTGCACGTAGTGATTTCTAAGAAACGCCAGTGTGTGGTAAAACCATGGTCATCACTCCTCTTAAAGTTAAAAGGTTTATGGAGGTTTTCTAAATTGTTTTATGTGTATCGGCGACACTGCTATCATCAATTTGCACCATTCCAATTTTCAATCAGACGTCTGTGGTTCATGCAATTCTACTAAAATTAATTGTTTGATGACGTCACTGTCGCAAAAGCTGCTATTGATAATAAGGACCTTTGCGATTACAATCTTTACAATCTCTTTAAACCTTTCTTGCTGTCATTCGCTGACGCTTAGTGTATACTTTACTGTGTTAAAACTCGGCAAAATGTCAGAACCAAGTATAGAACTAGAGCCACACGTGGCACAGAGTGGGACTTTGCAAATGTAGCAAAATGCAAAAGACCCCGAAAAAATCAACCTTCCACGATAATTAGATCAAGCGCAAGAACAGTCTAAAGTTGAGAAATTTTCCTTTTTTGGAAGATTTTAATACCGGAAGTGGACGTCAGACCTCACAAATGAAAGTATCAGCAGATAGCCAAGGTCAATGACCTTTGATCTTGTAAAGGAGAAGGCCTAAAAAGGTCAAGATCAAGAGATATACGCCATCAAAATTTCAAATTGCTAACGACTATAAAACCAGAAATTGACTTAGGACAGCAAATATAAAAGTAGAAATAGATAGCCAATGCCAATGACGTTTGATCCTACAAAGGTCAAGGCCAACAAAAGTCAAGGTCAAAAATTGAAAATTTTGAATTTCCAAAACCTGTTCCTTTTTTTGAACTATGAAGCGGAAACAACCAAAATTCTAAGACAAAGTGGCTCAAAATATGAGGTAACTGTGTAAAAAGTTCCATTTTGAACAAATGTATACTTTGCGAGTTATGCCCCTGGCCAAAAATGTCAATAATGAGTAATTTAACCCGGAAGTGCCACGCCCAACTCAATTTTTTTTGAATAAGTTAATCAATATTCAAAATGTTACGTTATGTTCCAAATGTCAAGTTCCTACATAATAGAGGTCAAAAGATATAGGTCAACAAAAGTCAACAAAGGTCAAAATCGAAAAATGAAAATATCCAAATGTTAAAACCCGTTCCTTTTTGAAACTATAAAACTGAAACAACGAGCTGTAAAC